GCACCAAGATTTTGAAGAGGAAAATTTAAAAAAAGGTTTTGCACTCTGCAAGCCTCCCAAACCCTCTGTATGCCTTCTTTTTTTGTGAAAAACGGGGCATGAAGAGAGTTTGAGAGGCCCGCAAAGTTCTCCTAGGGGCACAAAAAGAAGTAAAAAACAGGCCCTATTTTTTTTGCCAAAAATGGGGGATGCATAGACTTTCGGAGACTTGTAGAGTGCTCCTGGGGGCTAGGGGGGCAAAAACAAGTAAAAAACGGCCCATTATTCACTCATTTTTGCCCTCCCCAGCCCCCAGGAGCACTTTGTAGGCCTCCCAAACCCTCTACATGTCCATTTTTGCAAAAGGGGGGGAGTTCATGAGGCCAAAAATGCTGTATTCAGTGAATAAGACACACCCAGATTTTGGCCCTCTTTTTGGGGGGGGGGGGAAGGTGCGTCTTATACTCCGAAAAATATGGTAATTCCTGTATCCTCATCTAATGCTTCTAGAGCAGGGGTGTCAAATTCAATTTCACTGAGGGCCACATCAGGGCTGTGGTTGACTTTGGGGGCGGGGAGTGTGTGTGTGGCAATTGGATGGGCGTGGCCAGCCTGACGCCACTCCCGAAACTGCTGGCATGTTTCCTCTTTGCATTGGGTAGACTGGGAGGAAGCAACGTGGGCCGGCCCCTTGTTTTCCAGGATGGCCCCACGGGGCAGATCCGACCACATTGAGGGCCGGATTTGACCCACGGGCCTTGAAGTTGACACCCCTGTTCTAGAGGATGGCAGAAATATGCCATCTGTCTTCTTACACACCCTTCTTCCAATTCCTGCAGGCTTCACTTCTCTCTTCTTCGCCGCAACATGGCAGAGGTCACAAACTCTCAAACCTGCCTCACTGGGAATGTGTCACAAGTCACTCCAGCTTCCCTTTGATACAGAGGTAAGGCCACCAAGAGATAATAAGATACAAACCCGACCCATATCGGAATTAACCGGCCTATCCAAACCGCCAGGGTTTAATCAACGGCAAACATTTTCTTTTGTTAACTCGCCTGCTCCATTTGAGGACGGCACAATTTGCTTCAGGGATGTTCAGACAAACAATCTGCTTCTCCAAAAATATCCTGGCTTCTCTCGTTAATCATTTGCAAACCGGTCAGATTTTGAGCTGATCTTCCAGCTGCCCTGAGATTTAATTAATTCTTTGGAGGAATGTGATGAGGAGGCTATGAAATCCCCTCCTCTCCTTTTCCTTTTGAGGAGAAGCGGCTGAAGTAGGGGTGGCATCTGCTTACTTCCCTTACCGGTTCACAAATGTGAGCGCATGTGCGGCTTACATACATGTGCATGACTTGAAAACGTGGCTAAATAGGAGCCGGGGCAGGTGTGCGGGCCAACCCGCGATTTCCACTACCAAACCGGCTGAATCCCACCTCTGGGCTGAAGTGAGAAAGTGGAACTGATCTGCAGAAGGCCTTTGGGCAAAGAGGTCTTCTGCCAGCAGCTTAACAACAAGTCAGTTTCTCCCGGTATGCTGAAGTTCATCCCCTCTCAACAGGGCCCCAAAACCACCAATTATTGTGGGAAAATGGGAGGGGGGGGATTGTATGGAGTTAGATGCTATGTAGCCATAACAACATTCTTTCTAGAAAGCCAAGGTCATTATCCTTTGTCTCTGCACCTCTGCACCTGGCTGGAACTGGACGGGTGGAATCTGTCTTTGTGGTAGTGGGAGATTGGATCGTGGGATGGACTTGTGGATGTGGGGGGAAAGATCTTGAACTTTCAACTGGGTGGGGAAAACCCGGAAGCTTTCAGATTCGGGTTTTCCCCGATGTGCCAACGTGGCTCTCTTCATAAATTGGAACTTTGAGCAATACTTTGCCTTGGACTCTGATTTACTTTCGGACGCTATTTGGAACCCTGCCAGGTGTTTCAGGCCCGCCCTACCCTGGTGTACCTGAAACGAGGGTGACCTGACGGCCACTTGAACTGGTGCTTCTTTCTGAGGTGGACGGTCAGGTTGTTACCGCGGGTGAAACATTTGTCACAGACGTGGCACTTATACCTGGGCTCTGAATCGCCCTGCGGGAGCAGGACAAAGAAAGAGGGAAATGGTTAGACGGTGCATTTTCTCCACCTACACCTGAAATTCCGCAACTTCAAAGAATCCAGTTTTTGCTGTTCTGTTTGCAAAGCAAGTGTGTGGATTCTGTGAACAATACATTGGATTTCTAAGTATAGAAATAATAATAGTAGTAACAGAACAGCTTTAGTGTTATTAAACAGCAACATTTGCCTATCCCGGGTTCTTGAGAAGGTCTGAGTAAGTAGACAAGGGCCAGATCAAGTCTAAACATCTGACTGACTAGGCAACCAACAATGAGGAGGAGGAGAAAGAAGAAAAAAAAAGAAGGAGGATGAAGAAAGGAAGAGTAGGAGGAAAAAAGAAAAAAGAAGAATGAAGAAAGGAGGAAGAAAGAAAGAAGGAAGAGAGGAGGAGGAGGAGGAGGGGAAGGAAAGAAAGAGAAAGAAAGAAAGAAAGAAAGAAAGAAAGAAAGAAAGAAAGAAAGAAAGAAAGAAAGAAAGAAAGAAAGAAAG